ACCTGTTATCACTGTGAGAGTATATCCATTGCTCTGATATTGCAGATATACAACCTTAGCTCCATTAACACAGTAATTGTATACCCACAGACTTTAATCATAGTGACAGCACTGTTATCATGGGGACAGTTTGCCCACAGCACTTCTGACATAGTGATAGTGTATTCATAGTTCTGCTGTCTGAATGACAGTATATCCACGGCACTGTTATCATAGTGACAATATATAAACAGCTGTGTTATTGATCACAGTATACCAAATGCCCTGTTAACCTAGTGAGAGTAAATCCACTGCTCTGTTATGGGTGACAGTATATCAACAGCTCTGTTATCACAGTGGAAGTGAATTCACTGCTTTTTTATCAATGACAGTATGTCAACTACTCTGTCATCCTACCGACAATATATCCACTGCTGTGTTATTAGTGATAGTATTTCAGCTGCTCTATTATCATAATGACAATATATCCACAGCCCTGTCGTCACTGTGACACTATCTCTAAAACTCTGATATGATAGTGAGAATGTATCCAAAGCTCTGTTAACATTTTGACAGTATATCCACTGGTCTATTACCAATGTGAAAGTATATACACATCTCTGTACTCATATCCATAGGCCTGTTTCATCATCTCAGGTATTCATAGCTCTGTTCTCATAGTCACAGAGTATCCACTGCTCTGCTTTCATGGTATACAGACACCTCTGTTATCAAGTTGATAGTATATCCACAGCTCTGAGATCGTAGTTACGCAACATCCACAGCTCCATTATATATACAGCTCTGTTATCACAGTGAGAGTGTATCCACAGTTCTGTTATGAAATTGACAGTATATCCATGGCTCTGTTATCACTGTGACAGTATTTCTAAAGCTCTGATATCATAGTGACAGTGTATCCTTCGAAGAGACTAAATTAAATCACACACCAAAAGCCCAAACTCAAGGTAAAGAGATTTTATTCGTGATATCACGGAGAGTCAACGCTGACAAAAGGTCAGGTCTGAAGACTCCGACAAGTACAAAAAAGAAGCAGAATTTATACAGTGGGTAAAAACAAATTAAAACAAATTGCATTGTACTGTGTTTTAGCAAGGCAAGGCTATTACTTAAGCAGCCAGACGTGCATTAATTAAAGTGGAATGCAATGAAGATAAGAGTGTGCTGTGAGCTCTACCTTTTTGCTATCTATCCTATGTGACTTCTCAGACTAGGGAAAGGCAAGTTGCAGTTACAGCAATATGTACTGTTTCATAAAGCTAAAGTTTCTCTACTTCGTGCTCCTAGTCATGTATTATTTTAACTCATTACTACTCAGCCTAAATTAAACAGTCTCAACATACAATTATTCCACTATTCGCTCCTTTTTGATCTCCAGATCAACTTCACCAGTCTTCCTCTGGGAACAGAGGGCATACCCCAGGGGATAAGATCACATGCCCAAGCATTCCTTCTCATCATAATTGGGACTGTTGGATATGTAACAGGGAAATGTGGGAACAGGGCTTTGTTGAACCCAGGGGAGAATAGCACATATTAGACAGATCGCTAGAACACATACTACATACCACAACTATAAGAAGGATGATCCCATAGTGGGTCAGGGTGCTCCACTAAGTCCCAAAGGGCCACCATCTATAACCTGGGGGGTTGTAGTTGTGGAATTGATTCCCTATCACTTTTATTTTACTGACAGCTCACTGAACATGATCTGATAGGTGCATGATGTTTTCAGACTCATCTGGGATATAGGTGCAGCAATCCTGTCCTATAACTGCGCAAGTACCCCCTTTTTCGACCAGCACAAAATCTATAGCCAGTCTATTCTGTAGGGCCACTGTTCACACCACCACAAGTTCATTTGTTTCAAAGAACAAAGAACAAAGAAAATTACAGCACAGGCACAGGCCCTTAGGCCCTCCAAGCCTGCGCCGATCCAGATCCTCTGTCTAAACCTATCGCCTATTTTCCAAGGATCTGTATCCCTCTGCTCCCTGCCCATTCATGTATCTGCCTAGATACATCTTAAATGACGCTATCGTGCCCGCCTCTACCACCGCCACTGGCAACATGTTCCAGGCACCCACCAC